TAGTACTTGACGTATGAACTGCCAGCACACGTAAACTCCACAGCTATGCCCATCGAATTGGATGGGATTCATCATCTGCGCGATCACGTCATACTCATGCAGCGTCATACTCATGCAGTCCGCTAATCTTGATATGCGTCACCACAGCTTTACCGGTGCCCTTGTACGTGGCTTGATTCAACGGGTCGTAGTAGTAGATACGCTTTGAGCTGACTTTAACAGTAGCGCAACACCAGCGAAATTTCTCGAAGTTTAACGGCAGCATGACCGTGTCCACCCCTTCCTCCATAACTTGCTGTAGTACACGATCCCGTACAGCTTCATCAACAGGACGATAAAACTCATTTCGCTTACGCCTCGTTTTAGCAACACAGGACTGGAATCCTGCAAAACGACAGGATCGGTAATCCTACGAAAGCCGCGAGCATAATGCGCTTATGGCGGCATCTGTAAGCCACATCGGAGGAACCGCTCTGTACAGCATTGCGTAGCTGTATTCCATAGCATCCGGGAGGCCATCTATTCGTTTGTACGGGTACGTTTCTATAACTTCGGCTGCAACTTGGGCCCCGATGTGATGGAAGAGAAGGAATCCCGTCTTCAAGTAGCCATTTGCGCATATCCTGACCCAACTGTACAAGTTTTTTAAGTTTGCAACACGTTTAAACGTTTCGATCTGCTTTCGCGAGAAGCAGCCAACGTCTTTAATAACCACGGTTTCCACTGATTTGACGGGTTTGTTATCAGTTTCCTGAACTGGTTGAGACTGATCGATTGCAATGGCGTCTTCCTTCGAATTAGAGACCGGAAGTAAGCTCATGCATGCGTCCAACAGCTTTGTAGGGAGCAGGTAGAATGGATTCTGAATTAAATCAGGATTCTTCATCTTGTGCAGCTTTGGTTTTTTCTTGTCTGCATCTGCTTACTTCACAATAACACCAGACAAACGTCTCTCCACCTCACAGAGACTGGGTTGACCACGATCTAAACTATCCACGACGGCTAGTAGTGTCACGTCTCCAGCTTTTTTCCTGCCTTGCTCGGCCGCTTCGTACCATTTTCTGTCACTCCGCTCACCCGCCACAATCTTCTTCTTCTTTTTTTTGGAGCCCCAACCTTTCTAGCCTTCGGATTAAGTCGTATAGTCACGACGCTCTCTGGCAAATTCGTCGTTTGTTTCACATCATCAGGCTTGGGGCTTTCGCTGTGAAAACTATTGTCGTCACTGCTACTTTTGTCAAACTCCAGCTTCACCTCACCATTACTCGAGTCTTGTTTCTCTTTGACTACCGCGGCATTATCCATCACATGTTCCGGAATCTCCACAGCGATTTTCTTCTGCCGGACGTTTCTCCACTGCGTCATCATGAACCGCAGTACATCGTTAAACTCCGCAGGGCCTTCAATCTCAGCCAATTCGCTTGCAATTAAGTGAGTAGCACGGACTGCTTCCCGGTATCGCTCCGAATGAGTTGTGACGTTATCCTTGATGTTTCCAGAACAGTCAACGAATTTCTCGTACGCAAACTGACGTACTCGCTTGAGTTCCATTGATGTTTTCGTCCATCCGCCTAACATGGACAAATACAGGATCGATCATTAGTAAATACAGATTGAAAGAAGCTCAGATCCTGTACGTTTCCAGGATTTCATTCCCAACTGTATGATATCTCCTAAGACTTACTTTTCGTCTATTCGATTCCAAGGAATCACCGGACCGATCACTTTGGTGTGGCGGCGATAAGCTATCGCATGGCGGCAAGGCAAACCCATCGATGCAGCAAACTCACAGTCGCATATCCAATCATCGGTGCGCAGAGTATGCTCCTTGTTACGGCCGCACACTGTAATCACGCTTGAATCTGTAGCGTTCTTCTTGAAGTTGTACATAGAAGCCTTCTCCAAACCTAAAGCGTACTGAAGCTCAATCTGCTGAGCTACATAGTGCGTCGTGCAACGAAGTACAGTCGACATCTCCTCATCGTAGTTCGAATTGCGGAACTGTCCAATTCGAGTCAACCGGTACTCGTAATCTTTCTGTTTCCTCCGGTCAAATGAAACCAACGCCTTAATACATTTTGCCATACTCATCGACCCGTCAACTCCTTCCTTTAGTTTGCCAAAATAGCTGTCCAGCCTGTTGTTTGTATGGTTGTTGAAGTGGTGCAGCGTTGCCCGAAGATAGTACACCCAAAGCTCCGTGCTCGAGTGCCAATTCTTCTCAAAGTACGTGAAGAAGCGATCTATACCACATCGTTCACATATGCCCTTCAAAGATACACGAGCCTCGCTATACGTCTCTTTCGGAGACTGCGTAAACCATCTTGTGCACTGCGGCATCAATTTGACTTGCGTCGTCAGACGATATTTTGCCGAACTCCGGTTTAGATCGCATCTCCTTGAGGTATTTAATCACATGAAAGTGACAAATCAGGATACGCGCATCAGGAAAGTTTGCCTCTAGGACCCTTATTTCGTTCATGTCCTTGTCCAACGTTTACGCTCAGAAACTTGATACGGGTGGGGTGGAACCTCTTAATGTGTGAAATGGCTCTCTCCATATGCCAGTCCCCATTCGCTTCGATTAGAGACTATTGAACAACCGCTCCCTCTCCGAACTCGTTCATACACATGAACGTTAGAAGCTGATAATTGTATCTACAAATAATCATGGATTACAAGCTTATTAGTCCTGCACAAACCCAGTATAATAATCCGTCATGATATCCGACACGTACCGATTTGTCTTGTGGGTACAGTCTACTAGTAAGACCTCACTAAAACGCGCAAACAACCGCCGCATGTGCGCACTCGTTAGAGAAATCACTCCGGTTTCTCCGCAATCCGTATCTGCAACTGTCGAAAAAATTTCAGGATGAGCAGCCGCAAAGAGCGCCAGTTCTCTAGCCGTCGTTTCGTTGTCATTCACGTCTGTCTCAGAGGAGGAGTAATCTCGAACTAAATTGTCAACATCACCCTGCACGACGTTCTGGTCGTGTTCTAATAGATAGTCATAGATTCGAGAGCGTTTCGCGCCAACTTCCAACATTCCCTGCACACGGGCGCTTACCAGCGGGTCGAATACACCTCGCGACGTGGGGTACGTAGCAAAAGCGGCTGGAGAAACCTGATGGTTGTTAAAGAACAATCCACTTTTAACCTGTAGCTCCCACCACACTAAACTCCATTAAACTACGAAACGAAACGGACAGTTGGTCAGCCGGATGTGCTGTTGTGGCCGGCTGCCTTCACTACGGGACTTCCGCTTCTTCCAGCCGTGAGTGCAGATGTAAGTGCGCTGGTAGGGATCAAATCCCTCCGGTACCAGCTGATTCTCATCCAAGCCTCTCTTGGTCTTCTTTAGACGCTTATTTGGCTCAGCTTGAGACATTGTCTCCTTAACGGGGATGACCTGCATCGTCCGCCGGCAGCACTCGGTGAAGTACGACTGCCAAGCTTCCCATCTGGCATGGTATTTAACGGGCGGGTCAATAATCACAGTGGCTGCGTCGCTGGTACTTGCACTGTCATCCATTCGTTCCCGAACCTGTAAGTCTGAGCTTTCATCTCCCTGTTCTTCCTCGTCTATCTGTACTCCAGCCTCTGCAGCGAGATGATCCAGCCCTACCCGTTTGGCCGAGGCGTCACCCGTGCCCTCCTGCGCGGTCGGGTTAGCCCCGTCTTCTTGAACTGCGTCGACAGCGTCTTGTGGCATCTTATCGCAAGCGGTAGAAACGAAAATGAAACCAGCGAGAACTTATTTGGATCGGAAATAATCGAATCGGTAAGGAAATTTATCTTACAATCACTAACAGTTCCATGTAGATAATCATGGCCTCCAACGGCTCCGTTTATTTAACGCCTAATTCTGAAAATGCATGATGTATCAAAAGAAGATTTATACCTTCACATTTAATACTAGTTTTTGTAAGTAAAGGCCATCACATAGTGGTTTCCATTACAATGTAATGACCATTATGTATGGACGGGTTTCTCAATTTTAAATGCATAATGTATGGGAGCCTCGAAATTGGTAATGCGATTTATGCCATTATCAGGGCCATAATCGGAGTTCTTCGACCACTTATCGATTGTCGAGTATGGAGCCATCACGCAAGTACTGCTTGCGCCTCCGATCATGGCGTGGTGGGCGCCTCTGAATGCTGCTGGTCTCAGCGCTGGATGATTCTACATGGTGACGGATGCTGGACGAGGCAGGAAGCATGCACTGCAGCGGACTTTCGTGCTGTTCCTGCGATGGTGGTGATTTTGATATGAAAAAGGAGGTTGATTAGGCGATATAGCACTTTGAAAGTTCTTTCTTAATAAAGATAAAGAGCAAAGTAGAACCATGAACTAGCGAGCGGACGAGTGGTTGATTTATGCCACTTATTATTTATTAATAGAGACAGCGATGATGCTCAATAAATAATAGTACTGATGTCCACGTATCCTGAAACTCACAAGGATACTTTTGCAGTTCAACTCGATGAAGCCGACATCCTACGCAGTTCTGTTTAGCAGCTTTTCATTTGCCGACGATCTCGTGCCGTTGTCAGAGCCACCTGCACAACGAGAACGTTGAGTGTATCTGACACGCTTTGCAAACACAGCTTTGGTTCTGTATCAGGTTGAAGACCACGAGACCATTCCGCCGTAATCAGGCGGAAGATCCCTGCAACAACTCCACTCTTTCTTTCCTAGCGAAGCTATCCTAGAGATCTTTTTTAAAATTAATGAACACCTCAAGCCTTACTACTTTCATTTATTGATCTTTACATCGAAATGAACCTCTTCCTTTTACAGCGTTCTCTCGCAGCAGCACTACCACAAAAAAGAAGAAAAAAATTACCACAAGCGCGACCGCACAAACGTCGCAGCCCATCGGGTCGCAATATTTACTCGAGCTGCGGGCCCAGGAGGGTGGGCCTTGTCTTCCATTTCCACAGGTCTCAGAGCGCTGTCAAGCAGCTCCGTTCTTCTCTCCATCCTCTTGATCACTAGATCCACACGCCATCGTCCTTTTCCGCAGCTGCTCCAATGTCCGACTTGGACGAATACGCACGCAGCACAGGGTTGTGGTCGCTGCTGTTGCTCTTGACGGACGATTCCTTCTTCATCCGTGCGGCACCGTACGAGACCGAGAACTCCAGTGTGAGGAACCATGACATTTTCTCCTCGGCCGAGTCGAAGCACAGCTTGATGGTGCGGCTTCGGTTGAGCGAGCACACGATACCGAAGCGCTTGCCGTCCCACTCGTCCACAGCGCGGATGAGTCCGGACAAAGCGAGCTCAGCGTCGTCATCTTCGGACTCGTAGCAGCTAAAACTATCGTGCTTGATCACCACGAAAAAGCGTGTCCAGACATCGTCGTCCGTGAGACAGTGGGCCCAGCCTTCCTTGCTGGTGCGGTTCTTGCTGGTACGCGGCCGCTTGACGGCAGCTGAGAGCACCGCCATCCACGCCGCGTAGGCCACATGCGTGTCGGCAATGAGTCGCACTTCCTTGCCGTTCACCAAGTGTAGCGACAGTCCGTTGTTTTCGGTTGTGAGTGGCGTCACGTCCACAAACTCCAAGATGCCGCGCGCGCCGCGACTTGTGTTTTCGCTGTCGTAGTACGTGAGCATCTTGCCGTTTAGTGTGAAGTACCGTCGCGCCCAGGAGCGCAGCGTCTCCTTCTGCTTGCGCATCCAGCCCTGCATCTGGATCTCGTTCTCGTCCGACATACTCGAAGACTCGGACGACGAGTTGCCTCGCATCATGTTGCGGAAGCTGCGGCCGGTGGGAGGCATCTTGGAAGACACTCGGGATGAGTCTGGCGAGCGACGGCGATGGTGGCTCAACGAATAAGACCAGAAGCGCCCGGTGTTGCCGCTGGCTTGACTGTGAAAGAGGGAGCAAAGAACCGGGACTGAAAAAGAGAGTGCATGTACAGTGCACGACAGTCCGGCCTCATCCAAATCATAGTGAAATCAAGTGACCGCTTCGAGACATACAGACGGCTTGGTAGTATTATTGTGTCCGCTGCATCCCTGCGAAATCCGATCGCGGACACTTTTCAGTGGTTTCGACGGCAGCTTTCTGTCGCCCGACCATACAAAACAGCCACTATCTTTCTAACGGCTGATGTATGTACTTACATGGGGAATACGATATGACAGTAATTTATGTATCAAAGAGGAAACCTTTCTGTATCAGATACTGAAGGTCGAGAACGGCGCGCCCATTTTGAAGTTTCATCAGGCTTTCTACGAGGGGTGGCGATGCCCGCGACACCCAACGCCTCGTCCCGCGGACGTCCGACGTTATACCCCAAGTTCGCGTAGCGCATGCCCGAAGCTCAGATCGGTCATCAACATCTTGCTCATTTCCAAATATTCCCAGTGTTGCGCAATACCAAACAACGATGTCATTCTCCGAGTGCGAAGACCAGAAGGAGCGCGTGAAGGCCTGCTACGGCGACTGGTTCCAGAATCTGTGGGGTGGATCTTGGGACCGCTCCGAGTGCGAGCAGGAGACGCATGAGTACCGCCAGTGTGTGCAGGATGCGATCAAGCGCCGCAAGGAGCAGGGAAAGCGCAAAATCGACCGCAACGTCGACAACGACTGGATGGACCAAGTCAAGGACAAGTCAAACGAGATGGCAAACGACGCCAAGTCCCGAGCGCGCAATGCAAGAAACCGTGCATATGAGGAGAAGGACCAAGCCAAGAGCAAGGCGAAGAGCGCAGTGTCGAATGCGTCGGGTAAGGTGCAGGAGACTGCCGACTCGTGGACCGATACCATCAAGGGGTACGCCAAAAAGGCGAATGACACAGTTCTTGGCAGCGACGACGATTAAGACGTGAAGCTTGCGTATCGACGATATCAAAGCTAGCCGCGATTGCAAGCAGCTACCGAGCTGCTGCCTAGCTGTCGATACGGAAGGTTGGCTATTGCTGCTGTTGCCTTGCTACAAGTTGCTGATCTTCAGTTCTCCTCTCTTCTTGAATACAATACTTCTTTCCAACGTCTCGCCAGTTAATAGGTGCACGATTGCATATGATAAAAAATAATGACTTTTTAGTTTCGCTAAATGTTCGTGTTGCACTTAAAGCTGCTTGAGTACGGTATTTTGAATTTCTGTACAGTGGCAGATCGATCACATTGCAAGGTAGACAAGACATCCACCACAATACTTGGCATCCGCGTAACTATTTTCTCAGCAAGGCGGACATGTCTCCGTCAGCGAAGGGCGGCCGTTTAGAGTGGTTTTAATCGCTATTATAACCGTAAAAGGATTCGACTCGCCGTTTCGATCCCGCGTCCACTCGGGTGCGTCATGCAAGGAAAATAACCTGCTGGTAGGACTGTACAGTCATGCCCCTTCAACAGCCACCAGTAAGCACACCGCGACAAAGTACCAGTGTGTGACGGTCCGTCACACTGTGACGCACAGGCAGACTTGATCTCACAAGATCTGTACCACTGGTTCTACCAGTTGAGCACTCAGTTGCCCCTGGATAGTCTCCCTTTATCATCAGCTTGACATGCTTCGATGTCAAAATTCTCTCCAACGCTACTTCTCTCCCAACACTTTCGAAACGGTGTTGCGCAGTTGATGGGTCACTCACTCATTGTCCATGGTTTTCTCAGTCTAGAATCTATCTCAATCAGCTCACGCCACAATGGTGGCCCAGACATGGAGCTTCGGAGTAGGTTTCCCACACATACATTCACTCTTGTTTGATTTACACTAACTCTCTATTTGCATTGGTGATGCAGGACTCGAATCTGTTCTTCAAGTCGCTGTTCTGGCGGCTGGAGGACACCTCACACGACTCGCCAATCATCCGTAAGCCAAGCCAGAGCAACACATCTGCCTGGCCCACACTCTTCGAGCGGTTGCAACGACTGGACCAGCTCTTCCAGGCCTGGCATGGGCAACTCCGATCCTTTTTTACCAGCCAACGCTGTGACCAGGATCCGAGCAGCTCTCGTGTACGAGGCAAGAGCGTGGATGCCACAGAGCTCTCGGACGGCTACTCGTCCTGTGAAGAAGGACCTGGGGAGCACTCGACATTGAGAAGACGCTCATCCAAGCCTCGACCACGTAGCAAGACGCTGTCAGACTGCAGCCTCGAGGTCAACAGCAGTCGCAAACCTGTAACAGATCAGATAGACAGCCGCGCACCGACCGTGCGTCCTCCCGCCATGCAGATCTGCATCATGATCGTCGGTACCCGAGGCGACGTGCAGCCATTCCTGGCCATAGCTAAACGACTGCAACAAGACGGACATCGAGTACGCCTCGCCACCCACAAGATCTATCGAGAGTTCGTAATAAGTCATGACGTTGAGTTCTACCCTTTAGGAGGCGATCCGAAGGAACTAGCAGCCTACATGGTGAAGACAGGAGGCAGACTTATCCCTCCACTGAATCTGGAGACATTACAGAAGGACGTCCCGAGACAGATGGAGATTTTGGAGGACATTTTGATGTCGACGTGGCCTGCAGTGTCCGCTCCCGATCCAGACGGCGAAGCGCCTGGTGTCCCTGGCTCAGTGTTCAGAGCACAAGCAATTATCTCCAACCCCGTGACCTACGGACACATTCACGTAGCAGAGAAGCTTGGTGTGCCTCTGCATATCATGTTCCCGCAGCCGTGGGTGCCCACCGTGGCGTTCCCCCATCCCATGTCGAATCTGCCGTATCAAGACAAACCGCAGAAGAGAAATTATCTGTCGTACAAGCTCGTGGATCTGTTGATGTGGGAGGGCACGGAACGTATCGTCAACACCTTCAGAAGCGACGTACTGGGTCTGCCTCGTATCCGGAAAGGAGGTCGCGGCTCCGAAATGCTCTTGGACTTGAATATCCCGCACTCGTTCATGTGGAGTCCGTTGTTGGTACCGAAACCCTTTGACTGGGGCGATCTTTACGATGTTGTTGGGACAGTAACACTTACGACGGAAGCCTCGTCGTACTCGCCGTCTCCAGAGCTCGAAGCTTTCCTGGGTAACGATGGAGGACCCATTTTCGTTGGATTCGGATCGATGGTGCTTGAAGATCCTCACGCGACGACCAAGATGATCATCGAGGCAGCAAAGCAGGCGAATGTGAGAGTGTTGATCCAGTCAAGTTGGACAGATATGGCCGGTGATATGGAGATTCCTGACAACGTCTTGTTCATGGGAGACTGTCCGCACGATTGGCTTCTGCCACGTTGCTCTGCAGTCGTACATCATGGAGGCGCAGGCACTACAGCAGGAGGCCTGCTAGCTGGCAAACCCACTTTCATTGTGCCGTTCTTCGGAGATCAGCCGTTCTGGGGTCGAGCTGTGGTGAGTGCAGGCGTTGGAGTGGACCCGTGTCCAATCAATGAGCTGACGACGAAGAAGCTTCGAGCTGCGTTTAAAGAGCTGCAGAGCCCCTTCCTCCGCAATCGCGCTCTGAGACTGCAAAGGCGAATGCAGCAGGAAGATGGCGCAGAGGAAGCAGTAAAGAGCTTCTATCGACATTTGCCTCTGCGTCGGATGCGATGCGATCTCGACCACGAGGCGATGGCGACCAAGTGGAGACGGCAAGATGGCGTTAAGGTCTGTGAGCGTTGTAGCGTTCAAAGTAACAGCAAGGACGTGATTGAGTACCGGCCCGTGGACTACGCTGCCAGAGGCCAAGAACTGACGAGCGTCGCACGATTCACATGCGGACCGTCACCTCCTGGCGCTACTTTGTTCCTGCAAGAGGTTGGCTGGGCTGTCGCGTGCCTGAACCACATCGGTGGCGTCGTGCGGGACATCAGCCACTTCCTGCTGCTCTCGTGCTTCACGTCATGGGACGTCGTTCCGGTGAGATGAGGATCTGTCCTCTGCCGACAGAGGAACTTGTAGAGAGCCCATTCATGATGGGCTAAAAAAAAGTAGAGTGATCAAATTCTGTTTGTGAGTGATTGTAGCCATGTATGACGCGCTTCCAGCCGTCTCAGAAAATTCACCCGCATCAACATGGGTCTTGTTTAGGCCAGATTACCCGTGAACATAGCGTACCCATACAAATACCCAGTGGAACTTTCACTACAAGTATCCACAGTCCATCATTCCGCCTTCCACCCGTAGAGACACAAGGAACGATGCCTCACGAGTGCAAATTCCACGAGTGGAATCAGCGCTTCAAGGCCACTTTCCACAAGGAATCAAAGACGTTGGCCATCGCTCCTCCCCCTGAAGATGTCCGCACCGCTGGCATCGCAGTGCACGGACCCGATGGTCGCATCCGTCTGGACGTGGCGGAGGAGGAAGAAATCGACTTGGACGCTCTACGCCGCAGATCCAGGAGCACCATGGATGACGAGGAGGGTCTCCAGCTTGAGAAGGCCTCACTCAATTGGCCACCAGTACTCAACATCTGCATTATGATCGTCGGAACGAGAGGAGACGTGCAGCCGTTCCTGGCCATAGCGCAGCGACTGCAACAAGACGGACATCGCGTGAGACTCGCCACCCACGCCATCTACCGAGACTTTGTGACGAGTTATGGGGTGGAATTCTACCCTCTAGGCGGCGATCCCAAGGAATTAGCCGCCTATATGGTCAAAACCGGAGGCCACCTCATCCCAACGAAAGTCGAGACGATACAGAAGGACGTACCCCGGAACTTGCAGATGATCGACGAGATTCTGCACTCTACGTGGCCCGCAGTGTCCGCTGGAGACCCGGAAGGAGGAGGACCAGGCGTAAAGGGCAAACCCTTTCGAGCCCAAGCCATTATCTCGAACCCCGTGACGTATGGACACATCCACGTGGCTGAACGTCTGGGTGTTCCTCTGCATATAATGTTCCCGCAGCCGTGGGTGCCCACAACAGCGTTCCCTCATCCATTGGCCAATATGCCGTACTCTGGCAAGTCTCAGAAGAGGAATTATCTGTCCTACAAGCTCGTGGATCTGCTGATGTGGCAGGGAACGGAAGGAATCGTGAACGAATTCCGCACTGAAGTGCTGAGACTGCGTAAGATCCGCAAAGGAGACGGCGGTCGCGACATTCTACTGGACCTGCACATCCCTCACGCCTTTATGTGGAGTCCGGAGCTGGTCCCGAAGCCCAAGGACTGGGGAGATCTCTACGACGTGGTGGGGACAGTGGTGCTCAAAGGCACGGCCTCTTCCTACACACCGACGCCGGAGCTGGAGGCGTTTCTGGGCACTGACGAAGGTCCGATCTTTGTGGGTTTCGGCTCGATGGTGCTGGAAGACCCGAAAGCCACCACCAAGATGATCATCAACGCCGCGACGCAAGCGAAGGTGCGTGTGTTGATCCAGTCGAGTTGGAGCGACATGGCCGGAGACTTGGTGATCCCAGATAACATTTTCTTCCTTGGGAATTGTCCACACGACTGGCTGATGCCTCGTGTGAGTGCCGTGGTGCATCATGGCGGCGCAGGGACAACAGCAGCGGGGCTACTGGCTGGCAAACCGACATTCATCGTCCCGTTCTTTGGAGATCAGCCGTTCTGGGGCTGGGCGGTGCAGCGAGCAGGTGTGGGAGTGACGCCGTGTCCGATTGAAGAGCTCACGACGGAGAAGCTGCGAGTGGCGTTCAAAGCCCTTCAAAGCCCTGATATGCGGAGTCGCGCGCTGGAAATCCAGCAGAAAATGCAGCGAGAAAGCGGCGCGGACGAAGCCGTACGCTGTTTCTACCGACATTTACCCGTCCAGGACATGCGCTGCGATCTGGATCACTCTCGAGTGGCGACCAAGTGGTGTCGGAAGGACAAACTGAAGCTCTGTGAAGTGTGCGACTTTGTGATTGCCTCTCAGCCAGAGAACTTCGAGAGGAAGGTGGTGGACTATCATTTCGTCGACTACACAGCTCGAGGCCCTGCGCATGGCTTTGCTGGGGCTTCAGCCGGTGCAGCGGCGTTCTTCCATGAGTTGGGCGGTGCGTTCAAAGACGTGGTAGTTAAACCCGCGCGAGGATTCCGTGAAGAAGGCCCCAAAGGCGCAGTGATTGGAGTGGTGAAAGGCGTGAGTGGCCTCGTGATCCGCCCCGTGCATGGCGTCGCGTTGTTTGCAGACCATATTGCAGCGGGTCACGCGAATTACTTCAACGATACGGGTCGTAGGAAGCGTGGCAGTGTGTTCGACAAGACGTTTATGGCTGCTTTGGGGAAGGAAAACGGCTTGATTGACTCGTACACGTCTGGAGGCGCCTCTGAAGAGATCGAGACGCATCGCTGTATTGGTCCCAAGAAGGAGGTGCGAAGGAAAGTGGAGCTCAACGTGTCGGACGAAGTTAAACTCGAGTACCAAGCACGGTTCCGAGAGATCGTGAGTGAGCATCGAGACTCGCTTGATCGCATTGATCGGAACTCTTCCGTCTCCTTCAGCGCCTCGGACGCGGAGAGCGAATCATCGCCCAGAGACGGGATCCAAATCGTCTCTGCTGACTTCACAGAGTCTGGCAACATCGGCGTCAAGTTCAACGTCGGATCCAAGTCACCAGACGCTATCAGCGAGGCGAAGATCGAGGAGTGGCGTCAATATTCCAAACTGCAGAAGGTCAAGTCGGAGCGCATCCTCAAGATCTTCACGGGCACTAGAATACCGTCGATGAACATTTGTCTGGCGACGATCGGGACTTGGGACAACAACGTCAAGCAGCTTGTGGCCATAGGTATGCGCATGGCAGCGGACGGTCATCGTGTTCGCGTTGCAGCCAATGAAGAGTTTCGAGAGGATATTGTGGCACGTGGCTTGGAGTTTTATCCGCTGGCAGGGGCAGTGAAGAATATCCACGACTTTATCAAGTATCTGCACGACACGAAGAACGCCAACGTCATCCAGAAGCACAAGGCCGGGCGCCCTGTTCTCGGGCCGCTCAAGGACTTCGTGTACTCTTTGTGGCCAGCAGCAAATGGCGCTGACCCGCACGGACGCGGTCATAACATCCCTGGGGAACATTTCCGAGCCGACGCGCTGTTCTGGCATCCGCTGCTGTTCGGACATGTCCACGTGGCGGAACGACTGGGGATCCCACTCCAATGCTTCAGTTTGGTGCCTTTGTCCCCCACGTTTGCCATGCCGCATGTGCTGAGTGCGTTTCTCATGGACGACATCAGTCAACTGGGACGTGAGTTCAAGAAGACCAACTGGCTGTCGTACGGAGTGGTGGATACGGTGCTGTGGCGAGGCATGGAGGACATTGTCAACGATTTCCGAGAGCATATTGGGCTGAGAGGCCACTGCAACCAGGCTAGTCCTCTCGCTGACTGGCGTATCCCGCACGTGTATCTCTGGAACCCAGCATTACTGCAGCGGCCAGTGGATTGGGGACGAGAGCTCAGTGTGGCAGGCTACGTGACGCTTAAAGACGAGCGCGAGATGGAGAAGATGCGCAAGTTCAAGTGGAGTCGATCTCTGAACGATTTCACGCTGGAGACGTGCCACCCTGTGCTCTACTTTGGCGTGTCGACGTACTGCTTGGAGTCCGTACAGGTCGATCGACTCCTGCTGCAGATCGATAAAGCAGCCGAGCAAGCCAACGTTAAAGTCATCTTCCAAGCTCGCGAAGGACGAGCTGGTCACGCGCTTTACCACACGGAGAATATTTACGAAGTGGAGAGCGATTTCCCGTATTCGCTGATCCTTCGCAAGGTGGCAGCTACGATCCACTGGGGCGAGCCAGCTATCGTGGAAGAGGGTCTCGCAGCGGGCAAGCCTGTTGGAATCTGCGTCAGTGTCTCGTCCCAGTACTACGCGGCGTGTATGTGTGTGACTGCAGGTGTCGGCATCCCGCCTATTGACTTGAGAAAATGCACGATCGAGTCGCTGGTCTCGTCCTTCAAGCACGTTCTGCAGCCTGAAATCCGAGACAAAGCGCAGGAAGTCGCCAAGACTTATCAACCCGAGCCGGCTCTCGAGAAAGCTGTCGAGACTTTCTACATGAACCTGCCGCTGCGAGCGATGCGCTGCGATATTGACGACGAGAAGGTCGCTCGAATCTACGACCCTCGCCTGGAACTGAAGCTCTCTTTTGAAGCCTACATTGCTATCCAGCCACTTCGAGCTTACGACGACACGGACGACATTTCGTACAAACCTTTGTGGTACGATGGTCGCCGTCCAGCCAAGTTCTCGCTTCGAGACATTGCTGGAGATCAAGAGCTGATCGATAAGAAACCCACCCACGGATTGGAATCAATTCGCAAAGCTCTGACGTCTTTCGCTTCTCATGACTCGACCGACTCGACGGCACCTGAAGCGCCTAGATCTGTTTTGTCGAGACTGACAAGTCGAGTTGCTATGGTGGTGGAGAAACCGCAGTACTGGTCAACGGCAGAGGACGAAACCAAAGAGAGTCACGCGATCGTGGCGGCGTACGAGAGAGCGCTCCAACAGCGCGCAATGCAACAGCCAAAGTCAAAGCCAAGGCAAAAGTCAAGGCGCCATTGAGCTGACATCTCTATCAGTAAGGGACACATCCATCTAGACACAAATCTACCGAGTTACCGTCGTTGTCCAAGCCTTATAAGACGTAATTCTCAATTTTAATTAGAGGAAAGCCGTTTGAATTACAGCGTTGGAGCTGGAAAATATGACACGCTCGTTGGACTGTTTTGCCGTATCGGCGACTTTAACTCATAGCTAGGCAGTTCAGGTATTTTTTTTTTCACTTTCTAGCTTTTTCTGACACTGAATTACAAGGTGTGCTCAAGTTTGGATGAATTAATACTTCGAAGTATGAATTCATCCAAACTATGCAACAAGTACTGCTACATTTCCATAAATCTACATACTTAAGTTTGTTTTTAATACAATCTAGGAGCGTTAATCGTAAATCTTGACGTGATACCCTGCCGATATTAGAACTGACAACCAACATTCATGCGCTTTCGTAAGGCAGCAATACAAGCTGGAGGTCATGCGTAAGGCAGCGGTCTTACGATTTCTAAGAATGATGAAAAGCATTGCTCAGGTTTCTATTGGCTAATCACTGGGGTGGGCATCAACGGCCTTTGTATGGGGCAGCGTAAGAAATCTGCCTTACGTAGAAACCAGTGATATCATTGGCAGAAACGCGCTCGATGAGCTCACAAGGAATCGCTCGTGATCAGCGCCAGGAAGTGGACGCACCTGGCCAAGAGAAATTAGATGGGGATGGCGTTCGAGCACGATGCATTTCTGACGGCACCATAGCCCAATACCGCAGCTATCTAAAAGGAATTCGCCAGTGGGTGTTGGCAAACAAAAGCATAGCCAACCCTCAACGCTTCTTCGACGCGTCCGGAAATCTCGACCCGAGGAAGTTCAAGGCCAAGGACTTTGAGGCGTTCCTCGTCGACAAGCAAGATAAACTGACGACTAATACCCTCGGAGGGTATAGGAGCGCAATGAAGGATCTGTATCGACGCCACCAGTTGCCCCTCCCAAGCGAGTACGGCGAGAAAATGACAACGCTTTTTTCTGGTCTAAAGCGCTTAGAGGCTGATCGTGACCAAACCGGTCAAGGACGCGGATCTGGCAAACGGCCACTTACATATTCACGATACGTAGCGGTGTGCAAGTCGACTCTAGCTCGAGATGATGGTGGGTTTGCCCATTTATTCCTGACAACGCAGTGGAACCTAATGTGCCAATCAAAATCTGTGGAGACTATCCAAACCTCGCACTTGGTGGGTGCCAACGACAGCCTCGGCATTGTGCTACACAAAACAAAAACATTAACCAAGAAGGAAGCGGTCCTAAAGATCCACGACATATCTACGCTAATCCTGGGTCGCCTGTGACGTGCTGGCTGACTGCATTAGGGGTTTATTTAGCGTGTCACCCACGGCTTCAACCCGGTGCCCTTTTTCCAGGCTCTAATCAAAAACTACGGCTCGGTAAGGCGCTATCACAGTGCCTCAAGGATGACTTTGATGCAAAATTCCTCGGTACACACTCAATTCGCAAAGGAGTGGCATCATATGCATCGGGTGGCTCCACTGGTGGCCCTTCTATCGTAAGTATCTGTCTTCGCTGTGGTTGGTCCCTTGGAAGTGTCCAAGACAGATATTTTCGCTATGAAAGTGCAGGGAACCAGTATCTCGACCGTGTTGTAGCAGGCCTACCGCTTAACAGCAGTAAATTTTCCTCGTTACCGCCTCATTTCGTCGACCCCAGTTACAGCCAGGTTAATGAGTGTGTTCGACGGATGTTCCCCTCTCTTGCTGCTGACGGGAAACTAGGACAAACTCTGCAGTTGTGTGTCGCTGCGCTAGTGAACCACGCGGATTTTCTTCGACAGCAACTACCTTCTAACCACGCGCTGCTCTCAACATTTTTATTCAAAGACGACTCCGTAATGACTAGCCTGATGCAGCAGGTTATAACGTCCAATTCGCCCTGGATGCAATCCACTGGTATCCCACCTCATATTGGGATTTACAAACAATTGACGGACCTACGCGAGTCAATTAAACAATTACCGGAAACTTTGCTCAGTGGAGTTGAAATTTTGCTCGATGAAAAGGGTGTTGCGGCCGGTAATATCACGCGGGACTTGTTAGCACAAACAATACGCCAGCTACTTGCAGATGCTGGCATAGGTGTGCCATGTTCAGCAACTCAGCCCACAAAATCTCCTTCAGAAAGCAGTCAAAATGTACACTTCTGGGGCGGCAAGTTCCATTTCCTACCAGCTGACTTTGAGTTTCCCAGCACAGACCCGCTCACGGCGTGGATGTTATGGTGGTTCGGAAACAAAACGCTAGGATACCCACCGCTTTACCGAATAACAAGCCGTGAACTGTCAAGCCGGCAAAAAGCCAACACGCTTTCAGAATGGAAAATGTTCGTACACCATATCACGGTTGAGATCGAAAAAGCGACTGGGTCTGCAATAACAAAGATGCACACAGAGACAGAGGCTGAGAAGTTATTCGCACAAGGCATGGACAGACTCAAGTTACTCCCCACCATTCGGGCTCGAAGGAACACGCAGCTTAAGGTGAGTACCCTTACTCGCCTTATACGTGAAGCGATAAAAGCAGACAGTCCGAACGCACTGTCAGAACCTTTTCGAAAGCGCAAACGCGCCAAGCGGAGTGACCCGACGGTAGGATAGGATGCGGGGTACCAAGACATCTTACCTTGCACGTGGGGCAGCAGTTACAGGCCTTCTAGTCATTTATGATCAAGTTACCCACCGACGCCACTTATCGCATGTATTTTAACCAATCAACACACATCTCTATATCGTCAGAAAACTGCCTTACGATTTTTCCTCACAATTCATTGCAGTACACGAAGCACGGAAAAATATGTCTTTGTCGCTTCTGATAATTCAAGGTACGAGTAGGAAGCCCCGATAATAGCAGGTATGCACTCCACGAGAACTCTTGGCTCAACTGCCTACACTCTGAAATCAGCTTATGTGCACGCGAAAACAATCCCCACCCGGTCATCGAGGCAACTGTTAAATGGTGGCTTTTATAAACTCTGTCATCTCGTGATTCATATATCTATCTCTAAGCTCTGGTGTTGGCCGCAAGAACGCGTAATCATGGGGAATTATCAGATTTCTGATAGATCTTAAACAACAATGTCGATTCTTAAGCTGTCGGCAGTAAGATGCTTCGCTGGTAAAAGCTCGAAATTTCAAGACAGACGTTGTAAGTGCTTCTATTCAGCGTCACATATCTATACGAGTGCTTTGCTATAAAAAAAGGATGGCTCCTATCATGAGGACTAATTAAAATTTCGCAAAGAACACCGAGATGTCCTTGCATGATGCATTTAGCATTTCTAATTGAATATTGTGTTTTAGATGCCGTTTCGCTGCATAAGATTGGCTTCACGAAAAACCTACTTAAGTGCAGATTCAAAAGTCAACACTGTTTAATGTGGCCATGGGCGGTCAATATACCGGTATGCTCTTTGCCACGAGTTTGAGTGCATGACACGTATCTTTACGTGTCAGTATACTGTAGTGCTTGCACTCTGTCAGACGTACAGCAATAAGAAGCGACCACCTTTTACTTACTTTTAAGTACTAAAGAGTAGACTTCACTGCATCATCATCTCTCGGGGGTTAGCTAGCGGACCCGACAATTTGCTGCTGACGAAGCCTACGCCAACAAGAAGTCACCAATTGTGAGAGAGGCAGACGATTCCATTTGGTACCTTAACGACTACTAGATGTCTGTTTGATCCTAAGCCTGGCTAGCAACGCCGGTTCCAGGGCCTGGTCCGGTGGTTGTACGGGGCTCTTCTTCGTTGGAGACTTCTCTGTGGGTATTTTCTCCAGTTGTTGTAGGCATAGCAGGAGTCTTGTCCCACTTTCCAGCTTCTCTGGTTGTCTTCGCTCTCGTTTTGCGATTGCTCGTAGCTGTTGCTGACTTGTCGACCAGAACTCCAGCACGCTGCTGTCTATGGTGACGTCCTCCTGCTGGAAGACGACCCGGTTCCGCTGTATCCAGAGGCTGGTCGCGCATATGCTGCACATGACCCGCCACATTCTCTTCCACTCCTTCTCATACTGAAGTTCTTCGTCCGGATGGTCTCTGCCAAGGTTGGCTTTGACTACCTTCGATAATGCCGGCGCTATCCTACTTGCACATGCTCGCTGGAAATGGTCCAGCTGTTGTATCCTCCATTGCTCTCCAGTCCAGTGACAGACTAGCTTCTGCCAGCATGCTTGAGCGCAAGGGCAGTCCCACAGGAGGTGTTCTAGTGTTTTCTTTTGTCCATGGCAGCATTGTAGCTTACGGCAGCTATTGTCTAACGACCTGCCGTCGTGATAGAGGTTGAGCTGTCGGAGTGCCACCCGATAGCTGACCCAAACTTGATACGCCGTAAGCTCATTGTTGTGAGCCCAGAGTTGCTTGGGAGATTGCGCCATGGCCGCTGCTTGCCAGGTACTCGTCAGCGCCACTTGTTGCAACCGAGCCACTGGTGCGTCGAGCTTGATGCCTTCCCCTCGATACCGTTTGAAAGCCTGTTTCTTGACTGCAGCTAGAACGTGCCGGCTCGCCGTTGAGTCCGGCACCTGCCATGGGAATCCATGCAGTGTCGGATGGGCTTGAAAAACGATAGTCCCTGCTCTTTCCTGCCGTTGGAGTTGGTGGATGTCTTCCGTTGTGGTGACACCCGCCTGAGTCGAGTTACTGATGACTCAGTGAATCCCGTTCGGTTGCTGCTCTAGCTCGAGCTGTGTCTTCGGTGTATCCGTGGCCCGGATTGCTCGAATCCTGTGGCTGTTCAGTATGATCCACTTGTAGTCGTTCTGGAGTTCTGGGGGGTGCCGTATTGTTGCCTCTGTTCCGACCCGCAGTGTGGTGCCTACGTTCAGGGGCGTGATACTGCAGAGGATGGCGATGCCCCACCGGCGTAGCTTCGGTTGGAGATGGCTTGTTGCTGCCGAGAATGGGATAGTCATCGTATACACATGATCACTCCTTCTCTCAATGTGG